GAATCGATTCTGAAAATTCAAAAACCGTTCGATAGATATTGGTTGGGAATCGTGCTGATTAGTTTTTGGTAAAGATCGGCCAAGCCGTTTTCTTGTAATAACGTTTTAAAAAAAAAAAATCGACGATTTTTATGATTTTTTTTTTGACGGTAGATACCATAGGTTTCTAGGTCATACTAAAATATTACGGCTCTACGACAACTCGTTTAGCTTTAAAAATTCGTCAAAGTTTGCAAAAATTGGTATAGTTTTTTTGACATTTGTCAAAATTAGACTTTTGATCGACGTTTTCTCAAAAGCGCCTGAACCGATTTCAGAAATTTAAAAGCCATTTGATGTATTTCGGTGAGGACTATCGTTTGTCAGTTTTGTGCGACGATCTGCCAAGCCGTTTCTTTGTAATTTGAAAAAAAGTGTTAAACTTTTCGTACACATTTAAGCTCATCCTACCGAACCGATTTTAAAAGATCAAAAACTATTCGAAAGATATTAGTTGGAAATGGTACTGATTAATTTTAGGTGAAAATCTACCGAGCCGTTTTCTTGTAATGAACTGTTGAAAAAAAAATTTAAGCCGATTTTCATGGAACTTTTTTTGGCTTGTACTGTACTGTATATAACTTACTGTAATATTACGGTATTACGACAAGTAGTTTAATTTTAAAAATTCGTCAAACTTTACTAAAATTATTATCGTTTTTTTTAAGTTGGATTGATGAAGTATATTATTTACACACTTTTTTGATTAAACCAATTATTTACACATATCGGGAAGTTCATGTAACTTGCCTCAAGGCTAAATACCAAACCAACTAGTTGATTTTTTTGCGATTACTATAACTTGCCCTACGGGAAGTAAATTAAGATTTTTAAAAGATTCAATTTTTTTTCTAAACTTTGAAAAATTAGTATGTAAGTATTGAAATGTTTGAAAAAAAAAGACTTTTTGAAAAAAAATTTTTGTTTTGTTTTGAAATATTTTGTAAATTTTGAACTTTTTTTTAAAACAATTACGCTGCGTTGGATGCGAAGGGAGAAAGTATCGATTACAGTCTAACTGATAAACCTTGGTACGGTACCCTTAGAAATGTAACCAAATTTGTTATTGTATTTAAAATATCTGATAGTTTGATGTGCTTATGAATGATGATTATTTGTGGCCGCCAACTGGCATTTTTTCATTTTGTTCACGATTTTTCATTTCGTCAATGCAAATAATTTGTTTTTTGAATCATTCAAATCGGATACTCCGTTATCTCAAAAACAGAATTACCATTTTTGGCATTTTTTGCCCCGTATTTTCAAAACGGCAGGACATGCCGTTGCCAAAAACTAATCACCACGTCTCCTTATCAATAGAAGTCGAATGTTTTTTGAATCATTCAAATCGGTTGATCCGTGTTCTCGAAATACATACCCATACACACATATATCCAGGTATGCCAAAATGTTCAGAAACTTTTGAAACGTAAAGATGTATCCGAACATAATTATCTAAATGTTGTCCACTTAACTGTCTATGATGTTAAAACAATTTATTTTTATAATTTTATTATAATTTTTATAATAAAATGTGATTTACTAAACAACCATTGGGCTCGCCCGTAGGTCAGCGGTTAAGAGCGACGGGACTTGTTTCAGAGGTCCCGGGTTCGGTACCCAGTGACAACTATTTTCACTTGAAAATATAGATAGCAATATGTTTCCAAGTGAAAATAGCCCTTGTCCGGCATTGCTGCACCAATAAAATGTCAGCCCTATTAGATTAATTCTAATAACAAAAACATCAAATATGGATGGATTAACCACTGGGTTACCATCTAAAATAAATACGAAGTAAGAAGTTTTAGCCCAACAGCTCATAGGACGTAAGGTCTGATTGCTGTTCAAAAATATATATATAAAAAAAAGCAACCATTGATTTATCCCCACCAATAATTTCCTGTCTTACAGCTAAAACAATGTCGTAAAATTGTCAGTTTGGGTCAGTTCATCGCATATGTTCGCTCAATAAGTCTTCGCGTTTGAGATATATATATATATATATATATATATATATATATATATATATACTCGTATATATATAATAATCCATTTATACTTGTTTATCTATGATGTAATCCAACAAATATTTGACAGAAAGTACTAATGATGTGAATAACGAAATCAATGGTAGGTTTTACTATGTTTCATTATACAGTATACTCATTTATTAAATATTTCGAAACATAATAATAAGTTAATGTATTATTATATCCGTTTAATAACAGTTATTTGAATAGTCTCCTTTTAGTTGTCTTATTTTTCTAGTTTTCAATCACCAATCGATGTTCTGCTAATAAAACGAGTTTTAACTAGGAGAAAGTGGCATTTTGTCTGAAGGCAAGTTGCATGAACTTCACGATATGTGTAAATAATCGTCATAACATTAATTTCAAACTTTAATGATTTTTTAAGATATTGGTTAAAACCATGAGCTATATATATATATTAATGAAATCCTCAAAAAACTAACAATTGATTACGAAAAAACGACCCCGCCGATCTTTACGAGAAACTAATTAGCACGATTTCCAACTGATATTTTTCAATTTTTAAAATCGGTTCAGGATTGCTGAATTTCTGTCTAATTTAATTGTCTCTATGGGGAAGGAAATAAAATAAAGAAGCAAAAATTATTAAGCTTTTTTTAAGAGTTTGATTGACATTCATTTAGTGCTGTTTATATAAATGTTTTATTCACATTTTTGATTATAAAAACTTATTTTTAAAACACATGCTTATTTACATATAACATTGTTAACCATTTCATTATGATGCTTGTCATATAGCTCTTGTGTTATCATACTAAAAGTATGTCGGCACTGATTCCTCTTCTAAGTAGATAATTTTTTTCATATAACTTTTCTCCACTAAATCTATAAATCAAATCAAAAGTACAGTTATACTTTAGAAATTGAATCTAATACTAAATATTAAGTGTTATTGAAGAAGAAAAAAAACTAAACAGGTACTGAAATTAATGTTTTACCTATATGAATTTCTTTAAACCTATAAAAATGTAATTCTTATTTAAACCATTTTTGGTCGATTTGAAGAAGTTTTTTTTTAAGTATGATTTAATTCAATAATTATTGATAAATTGCTCACCTGACAAGCATTTGAAACTAAACAATGAATTCCATAGACCTGGATTTTGTTGAATCGGCGAACAGACATCAAAAGAACTTAACAAAACAATACATTTAATAAAATAGATTTATTTTTATTAACTATTGCATATATACAGTTTGATATCAAAATACTTAAAACTAATCAAAACCTAATCTTTCAAAAAGACCTTTAAAACCATTGCTTTGCACCTTTTATATGCTGTTTAGTAAAAATTTCTAAGACTCAACTCAAGTTACATTTTAAAATTGTTAGCTATATGTAAATTTTCTATACACTATTTTAACTATATATACAATTTTCGTAAAACGAGCCTTTACGTTAAGAAAAAAATTAAATCTACAATAACAAGCAATACTAATTTAATATTATATTAATAACCTATAATAAACATTAAATAATTATTTTTAGAAATTTAAAATCAATGGAATGTATTAGATCAACAATTCATTTTTGTTTCTAATTATTCCAATCTAAGAAGAAATTCATGAAATTACTTATAATTGCTTCTCATTTAAATGTTAATTCTTCTATACTAAATTATTAAAATCTAATTCAGCCTTTTAAGTAATAATATGGCATTAAAACAGGTAATTATTAATCTTGAAAAATATTGTCAGTCTTATTACTCATTTCATATATGAAATGATATGTTTTTCTAAATATAAGGATATATCCTTATATTTAAGAAAAAACATATCACCTGCATTCACTAGTATCTGATTTGGTGTTATTAGGTACTGGTATGCATATACTATCTAGAGTCTCCTCCTTAATATTCATTGATCCAGAGTGCTCTTCTTGTGCCATGTTTTTGCAGTTTTCTTTTGAGCATTGCAGGCGCTATTACATTTCCTGTTGTTTTGCGACAACCACATAATCTGTTTTCAAATTTACCTTTACGCTACATTGGCTTACATCTGCTGACACTCGCTTATGCCTTGGCAGTGTCTGTATATGAGCAAAAAAAAGGAAAAGTTTTTCAAAAAAAACTTATAAACATGATTATATGATATCAAGTTGGCAACTAAATTAAGTGCGGAAGAAAATCAACATTTTTTTTATGAAACTAAATAACTTTATTCTGAAATGCATTGTCTATTTTTATCACTGATTTTTGTCATCTTTTAAGCTACTTCAAGCAAGCATAATCCCACTTCTAAAAACTTCTGGTTATTATTAACAAAAACTGAATCAAGAATAATCATTGAATTGTTTAGCATTAAAGGAGTTTTGTAAAGATCAAAACAAAAAGTAATAAAAAAAGGCAAGGTCAGCATTATATGGTCTAGTAATTTTTGTTGAGTGGCCAAAAATATGTGATGCCAATAATGGAATAAATCACCATTTCGTTTTGTGAATTTAGATCACTTTTGTAATCAATTTTTTATTCAGACAAGTTGGACGATCAGAGCGTTTTCATATTTGAGTGAAAATCACCAGAACAAAATTTATCAAACCAATTTTTACACTGCCGTTTTTTTTGTCTGCTATCCAATAACAAAAAGTTTTTTATTTCAACTACGTGAGCAAACCTAAAAAATCAATTGATACCATCGGAGAGAGAAAACCACTGCCAACTAATTTGCTAATATATTAGAGAGTAATTGAGAATATTGATATTTATGTATATCTCATGCTTTAATTTTAATTTAATTTGGAGAAACAAGATGCACAAAGCTTTTGCTTTGTGTTCCCAGACTATATTTACTAATCCAGTACGCTCATAAATTTTAAGCATTATTTAACCCAAATATTATTGTAAAAAAATCACTCATTTTAAATAATCAAAAGTAAAATTTTTCACTGATTAATATGATTTCACTCACCTTCACTAACCGGACTTGCTTATACATAGGCGTTAGTCTAAAATCAGGATCTTTTTTAGCGGAATCTGCATAAACCTCATCATCACTTTCTGATGAACTCATTGGCTCGAAATCCAGCTTAAGATGATCTGGATCTTTTTTCATTTTCTGAGCCTTTTTTTCACGTGTTCTACAATTCTTAATATCATTTCTGTTTCCATATGTCATTAATTCAGCCAATTCATGTCTATGTTGCTCGCGTAGCTTATCCATTTCCTGTTGATATTGAGCAACTTTCGCCACTGCTTCTGTTAGCTGATTCTCCAGTTCAGTACCGCGCTCTAAGCAGATACAATGAAATTATTTTAACTTTCCCATACTAACATTGTATCTTTTCACATATTTACATATTTTTGTTGCTATAAAAATATCAGATTAATAGATTTGATTGTAATAATACCATTATGGACATCAACTGAACGCCTTGGGTCAGCAATCATATCAAATAAGTCTTTTGGAGCATATTTAGGTTCAGGTATTGGCATATTCACTTTTTGTGCAACTTGTGCCACTAATGTTCGCTTCCAAGCCAATTCCTTATTTAATTGTTGGAGCCCTGTTGTTAAAGCTGCCTGCTGAGATAAATGGTTATCTTGTTGTTCCTTTACATCAAGGTCAGTAATGCTTTCAGATGATTCTAAGTGAACATCTTCTTGAAAACCACTGCTTTCACAGGACACTTCTGATACAGGTCTTTTTTCAATATCATGGTCCAAAATATGAGTATATACTTTTTTTAGTGTTTTCTAAAAATGGATTTAAGACTGTCTCATTTTAATAAACATGTTATTCTATACTTTTATATTTCAAAAAACACTCTCAAACTTATCATTAGAAGCAGAGTTTTTTGAACTGTCAGTGATATAAAATATGAAAACAAACCTGCACTTCCTCTATGCTTTCTTTAATTGTATGTAAACCAATATTATATGAGTTTTCACTTGTGCTTAACTCTCCCTTAGTTTCATCATCTAATGAATCTAATGCTTTCAATAAATTATTATCCTTTATCTGAAATTAATATAATAATGTATATAATGTGTATGTATTATATAAATAAATAATAATCTTTTAGAATTTTTTCAAGTTTCTTAATTTTTCTTAATGATATATAATATATATATATACATATACATAAGTAAATTATTGTGCAAAATGTTGTAACCTCTTGTCTCGATTTCAGTACAAGTTCATTTTTGTGCTCTTTATTTACAATTGGTTTATTTTTTATTTTGTTTGCTCTATTTGCATATCGTAACGTGCTCATTATTTCTTCTATGTTGTAATCCGCTGGGCTTACACAAGCTATCATTAATGTAACCGCATTGCCCCCAAGAGAATCTAGAAATTGAAAATATATCACACATGACAAACAGATATGAACGATTCGGAATGACTGAAACTCGTATCAAAACAACTTGTATGTCGGAATCGGATGCCGTATATATCCGTACGATATATATATATAATAATAATAATAATGAGTGCTCTGCCCTAGGGCAGGTCCGTGAGCTGAGTGAAACTCCAACTCGATTCAGGGAAGAAGTAGTGTGAGAGTTTTTCCCATTTCCATTTCACACCGCAGTGCCCGAGATGGGCTTATTTTCAATTGGAAACATATTTTGATCTATATTTTCAATTGAAAATGGACATCGCGCTGCCCGATGCCAGGTTGCCAGAGCGGGGAATCGAACGCGCGACCTTGTCCATACAAAGTCATCGCGTTAACGATCTTGACTACGGCGGACCCTACGATATATATATATATATATATATATATATATATATATATATATATATATATATATATATATATATAAGCCTTTAACGACTTGATTCGTGTCCATAACCTGTCCATATATCGGGCCCGATTCACTAACTTAACAATCACATTTCTAATTACACTAACAATAAGTCTACTTTCGGTTCGGCGACAGCTCCCGAAACGCTGCGCCCCATAACGTTCTCTAGAATCACACTACTCGTATAAACATTTTGATTACACTTTCGTGCGGTTGACCGCACGCTTGCCGACTCTGAAGCCCTGCAGGCAACTCACACACCCTCGACAACGACTAGCCCAAGACTACGACTACTTCTAGAGTCTAGATTGTTCCTAGACTACTACTACCCCACAGGCCTTCGAACACACTCATCAGTGA